ATATATAAACTGGATGCATGATTACAATATCAGGAAAACTAGCAATGTGTGATAATGGAGCTTAATATTACAATGATGATATGATTTGCGATAAATTGAAAAATACTTAAGTGCCGTGTTGATGTCTTTTTGCTCTAAAATAAGACAACTTGTTTCTTAATGATTTTAAAACATTGCCCCACTTAAACATTTTCTGATGCTCTAAATATATTGAAAAACACCTCTTACTGTCAGTTTTTATACAAATAATAAAACGTCTGAAAGTGAATTAAAAAACTTAACAAAGGTTAAAAAATCCAACCATAAATTCTCTCGTTGCAACATGTTCTCCGCTGTATGATTTGATGTGCTATCTCAGGTCCATTTTGTTTATCAGACCGATACTGACAAAACACATAAAGCAAACATTACTGTCAACCATTTATTGCAGTTTATGCAGTTTTTTTTTTCAATATGCCTATTGCACAGGCTGTTATCGCAATGACAATACATTTACGATATATTGTGCAGCCTTATTACATAGACATATACTTTAATTGCTTTGGTACAAACCAAAGAAGTTATTTCTACTTATGTACATATTCTAATATAAGCTCGTGCACAGAAGAAACATGGAGGAACCCAAGTTTCTAGCTTTATATCCTCCTTCCTGATCTTTGTTAAGCCTGTGTCTTATAAGATATGATAATGGAACAATTTTGATTATGTAAATGTAGTCAGATTATTTAAACACAAAAAAATTCTGACAAAAGCTACCAAAGCTTTCAGTGCATTTCTCAGTGATTTTGGTGGATGTTTTAAAACGATCACAAATTACATCACTTACGTTACTTGGTTTTAAAATACTGTAATACATAGTTTTGCTCTGTAGATGGCGCTAAACCTTAACGAGGAAACCGGAAGTTGCACAGTAGCTTTGTGAGCGACATTTTAAATACACACGAAGCTAATCGCTAACAGCTAAGACAACTGGCGAAGCTGTGAGCAGACTGCGTCAAAAACACATTAAAAATTCTTCACTTCGTCAAACGAACAACGTGAATAAAACCAAGTGCTGTTCGTGCAAGTTAGGTTAGAGAGTCTGGGAAATACAGGAGATGTTAATAAGTCTGACATTGTGACAGGAATCCCAAACTAACGCTGTGGTAAGTTCAAACCTAACCGACTCGAGCGCTGCGTGTGTGTGTGTGTGTGTGTGTGTGCGGGGTGCTAGCGCCTTTAGCTGTTAGCTACTGACTTGATTCCGCCTGGCCGCACTCTCTGTCTGGATAGACACTGCTGCCATTTATAGTCTTGCATTGCAGCTGTCTTGCTACCTGATTTTTCCCCCCGCGACTTGTATTCCTATCGCCAGGTTTACGAAGGGTATGACTATGACTGACCGAGATTAGCTTCACTACGCAGCAAAAGATTGTGTTCGCCTCAGCTAGCCTCAGACTCAACTATTGAAAAATTAAGTCCATGAATATTTAGACATGTATTTTAGAGTGGCTGAATTTCAAGTAATTATATACTTATCAGTATTGAGTGCAAAATTACATGATTGTTTCACAGTATAATCAAGCAAATTAGATGTATTTGTACTTACGTAAACGCATAGAAACAGCTGGTAAACTTGACATTTTATGTCGTTAACAGGTATATAAAGTATGTAACAGTTCGTTCAATAATTAACTGTGAGTTTATTGTTAAAGAAGCTATTTAATATTCAAAGGCGACATTTAAACATTTCATTTTTCTTTTTATTAACTTGTAATACCTGCTTATGTGATAGCTCACCGGCAGAACCAAACTAGAACGTGGTGGTTCTGACAAATCAGTGCTTTTCTCTACATAAATAAAACAAGAAATCTAATTCATGATATTTAAAGCATGCTATATTTTATTTGATCACTGTCATAAATCAAACTGTACTTTGGAATACAGACATGGTTTAGACTCATTACTATTTACTTTTTTAGAAATATTATTTTGAGCCTTTGCAATACATACAACAGTAGATATTGACCTTCTAACATAGTTTAGTGACTTTTATTTTCTTTCCTCCAGCAGGTGAGTTCCCGTCCAGGCACATTGGTCCATATTTGCTGGACCATTGGGCTCTGGGCTTAACTAGCTGGGGAAAATGGCTGATTTAGAGAAGACAGAGGAATTTCTGGATGCCGAATCTCTCCCAGAGTGCCTTGATGAAGCTCAATCAGCCACAGCTTCTGTTCAAGGAGAACAAGACGAGCATCTGAAAACAGAGACTACCACCAGTACCAGTTCTCCTCCAAGGGAAAAGGAAGGTGACAGTCCCCTGAATACTGAGGGTGAACAAAGTCTTCTCTCCATGCCATGTCTGATGAAGGAGCTTCGCCGTGACTCCCCAGAGTCCCAGCAATCATCTGCAGGGAGTGACAAACCTGTGTCACGTCACATTTATGAGAGTGACTCCTCAAACCCCTGCATGCTCTCTCCTTCTTCCAGTGGCCACCTGGCTGACTCAGACACACTTTCCTCAGGGGAAGAAGGTGCTAAACCTCCTGTAAAGGAAGGGAAGGAGGGCAGTGTGGAAGCTGCAAATGATCCTGGTCTAAAAGCAAAAGGACAAACATCTGCCACTGCTTCAGGAGGAAGGAAGTCTCGACGGTCGCATTCAGAAAGTGAGATGCCTCCAAATGCAATGGCTGCAAAGAAGAACCGTTGCCAGCTGACAGAGGCAGCAGCAGGGCCGGAGAAACAAACCAATGGCAAGCTGGCTAAAGTGAAAGGTCACCGGAGCCAGAAACACAAGGAGCGTATGCGCCTGCTGAGGCAGAAACGAGAGGCAGCAGCACGGAAGAAGTATAACCTGCTGCAGGACAGCAGTACCAGTGACAGTGAGCTCACCTGTGACTCCAGCACCAGCTCATCAGATGACGACGACACTTCCGGAGGTAGCAAGACAATCAAGACCGATATTCCAGGTAACCTTCAATGATCCGGTTAAATTCTTATTGCACAGTACAACACATGATTACCAGTAAAATAGACAGTAAAATACACACTGTGATTGAATACAAGCAGTATATAAGTGACATTTGGGCAATAGTCAGGCACAGTTGCTCCCTGTTTAATTGTAAAGTTTAAAACGGACAGAATCTAAATTTCAACTAGACATAAAATTAAGGTGTACCATGTGCTATTACATCAATTCAAGGCTTGCTTTGTTTGTGCTTGTTTTACCAATCACTTCTAGTTTCTTTGTTCTTGTTAATTTCTCATTCGTCATCTATAGTCATTCCCATTGTCTTCAAGTTCAATTGCATAAATGTTTAGAGGTTTAATGTCTAGTCATTTGTCAATCTTGTCACAGACATGTTCTGTCTGAGCTTCGTCTCATAGTTTGCATGCTGTGGAAATGTAGTTGGTGTCGTTCAGTTCATGAAGTGGTAGTAACCTAACATTCAGTGTGATCTCTGCAGTTTTAACACGTGAGTCATGGATTTCCTCCACTGTTACTCCAAACTGATATGAGCAAAGATCTATAAATGCAAAAGGAGTTTTGCCAAATCTACATCACCTCAAAGCCTGATAGAAATTTAGCATAACTGTTTTTGTTTTTCTTAATCAGTCTAGCTTTTATTTTCCTAAGTCTGAATTGATGGCACACTTTGTTTCTGCCCACACAAGGCTTGTTTCTTATTTTCTTAGATTTATTTACATGGCTTTCAGTAGCATTTCAAAGAGTTATGCAGCTCTTGTGTCTGTCACTTAACTGCATGAAGACGCCATCATTGAGAAATAGAAATGTCCAACGCTTACAAGTGGGGAAAACTCTGATCATAGTGTCTGTACATACGTTGGCACTCCGTTTTTTTCCCAGTTTATTAATATCTTAGTGACTTGATGTGTCAAATATTACTTAATATTTAATAGTTAATCTTTGCCAATAGAAGAGCTGTTTTGTTTATTTAGGCTCAGTCTTTTCAATTCAACTTTTTTTGTTTTTCACCATATAGAGAACCTTAAGGGTGGTACATAATGATTTATTTTACTGTTTAACTCTTTTACATTAGATTAAGTATGACCAGGTTATTACATTTGGAAACTTACAGAAGGGTTTTTTCTTAGATGGATTTGTGTTGAAAAACTCGCCCGAAACTTTTTTTCCAAACCATGGCCACTGAATCAGTCACTCAGAATATTCAGTTTGGTTTTAGGGACCTTTTAGTACATGGGATTTTTTAGTCCATTTTTACATCTTGGACACAGTCTTAAGTGCTACAACTGCATGATGTAGTTCATCAGCATGAAAAGAGTCGATCTGCATGTAACCAAAAACAAAAGTTCATTTTCTATTTAACACACAAGTCCACCTCCGAAGCATGAAAGTGCTACTGTATTTTCTTATGGCTTGGCCTCAATGTCTTTAAAGCTGGCTTCAGACGTGCATCGGAGAGTTCCAGAGTGGGAGCCCACATTCAGGGGCTGCTGGACACCAGTTCGTGGGACAGGAACGGCATCGGCAGCGTTCTGGAGGAGGCTATGACGCGCTTTGCCGTCATGCAGCGTCAGACCGAGGAGCGCTTTCGCATCTGGATGGAAAAGCTTGCCCACCTCGACTCGGACAACGATTCGTCCAAACGCTCAAGCGATGCCCCCGAGGGCCAGCAGGGAGCCCGGCCATCCCCCCCAAGTTCCTTTTTACCATCATCGGAGTCTGCGGAGACCATGGCTGCCTACATGCTGGCACGAGAGAACAACAGTCTCACCCCCACCCCTATAAACAACAATAACATCCTGCCTGAAGTTGTTGCTCAGAATGGGAATCTAGGTGTTCCAGATCCTGGTCTCTTGAATGTTTAGATTGCCCACTTTGCTTCACGTCTTGCTGTGTCATACAAGACATGTAGAACTAGCTGATTCTGAAAGCATGGCAGTGGAATATAATACTAAAAAGATGTGAGGATGTCAGTTCCTTGAGCAGATACAATATAACCAGCAGATGGGCCTGAGCTGGTCGTTTGAACTGGACTCTGCTGACCTGAGGCTCCACGTTCTTGCTGGCACTGAATCACTGTGAGATTTGACATTCAGACATTTTCATCTCATTTGTGACGTGGACGCAGAACATATCTCACTACACTGATGAATCAGGGCTCTTATTGTACTACATATTGTTTGGCTTGTTTGTTTTTTCTTTAACCTCTGTACAAACACACAGTAATTCATTTAAAGTGTGTATTACAGCACCTATTAACCGTGATCATCACAGTGCTGGGGTAGGTGCTGCTGTGTAATAGCATGTGCCTTGTCTTTCTAAAGTCATGGTGTGATCGATGAAGCATTTTCAGTGCTATTTCTGTAGCAATCAAATTTAACACTACACATTGTTTTTTTTCTCGACCCATTTGCACTTTGCAAATGCTTCAGGAAAAGTCTTGTGACGTTTCATTTTGGTGACATAGCTTTACTAACATCGAAACATTTATCATAAACTTACCGATAAATATAAATGCAACATGCTTGCCTTTTTAAGTTTTTAAGATAGAATCTCAGATTTACATTAGAAGTTTTAACACTGGCTTTGCTGTTACATTTTGCTGCCTTTTTGCAGTGTGAAGAAGCTAGTGGGAGAGAAAAGGCAAAACTTTGTTTATTTTTTTTTTTGTAGTATACAGATAATAGCATCAAACAGAACACGGGTTTCTTTGTTTTTGCCATTAGTTGCGGTGCCAAGAGTATCAAAGCTTCCCTAATATGTTTGCCTAGTTGGGTTTTGTTTGTACTGGTTTTGTCTGCCAGCTTGGCCTTTTTCTCCTCGGGGCACCAAGTGCAGCTTGAAGTTCATCCTAGAACTCAAGCAGCAAATTTACACGTCGGCAACACTGTTGCGTGGAGCATGACACTGTTTAAGAAGACAGGGAAGGTGGGATGGATCTGAGTTATAAAGTGGCCTTCTCTGGTTCATCCTGGTTAATCCTTTAAACTTTAAACCCCCTCCCTAAACTATACTAACGTAATCTGACCATTATTAAAACTGCTCTCATCACTACTGTTAAACGAGATGTGCATGAAGGAATCCACAGCCCATCATTATTTTTTATAACAAGGGATGTTAAATGTTTTTGTATGTAAATAGCCATCATTTTATCAGAACCTAAGGCAGAACACATTGTTGCTCCTCTTGTTTGCATGCTATTATATCAATATGTAGAATGTGCAAAGCCAAAATAATTTCATCAGCAGCATGTGTGCAAGGTATAACTGTTTATGCGGATAAGTGGTGACAGTCAGGATGATTGATCTAATTTCCCTTTTTGCCCCCATGTTTTTCTTTTTATTCTTCCTTTTATTGGTGTTGATTTTTGTTTGCCATTCGGACTTATATGAATCTGGCGTTAGCCTCTGTAGATTTGTTCAAACTTAAAGGTACCTTTTATAATAACATTTTTGCCAACACAATAAAGAGAACTCGGTGCAAACAACACATGCGCTGAAAAACAAGATAAAGAAATCAGGGACAGTCCAATGTTTACCAAAGAGACTATCCTTGTTTACATTTGTCCTTTTTCATTTGTTTATACCCAACCTTTACACTGGCAAGTGTTTTGTTTCTCTTGTACCTCTGGTACCTGTGTGTTTCAGCCCAATCAGCTGGTGTGCGCTCATATCTCTTAATGTACATGCTGTCCAGACACCTCCCCCCCC